CCAAGTCCTTGGGGCTCTTACGAGGGTAAGAGATTCAGGAAATTTTGCCTGACAACGCCGAGGTGTGCAAAGCCGCCCTGGCACCTTCTAACTCTGTGCAGTGGTGGCTGTAAGGACAGCAGCAGAGCAATTTTAGAAATCTGGTTTTCACATTTTTGAATTCTACTAGAATTACTCCTCCGATGACAAATAACGAAATGGAATTCTAAAAACCAGTTATTTCACCATCACTCAGGAAAAAAAAAAGAAAAAAAGAGAAGAAACAAAAAAGGTACTTCTCTAAACTAAGGATATTAACACACTTCACCTTTTAAGTTCATCAAATAAGAGTTGGAAAATACAAAATAAAAAGAAGAGGTAAGTCATATGAATATTTTAATATTGAAAGCCTTTGTGAATCAGCTTATGATGCAGGTAGCTATGTAACACTTATTTCTCACTCATCTATTGAACTCATTTTGAATACCAGTTATTTGCAGAACAGCAACTTAAAAGTCTTCGTGGAAGCTTGTGATTACAGCTTATAGAAAACAAATTACCATGAAGACCACTCGCTGCTTCCAGAGGCAGAAGGTGTCTCATGTTGCTGGTCAGAATGACTACGAGAACATAAAAGGTGTAGGAAGTGACAATCAAAAAAAAGCTAGAACTTCTTTCAAGCTATATTTACCCTGAGCTCATGCTAGAAGAGTAGTCTCAGCCAAATTTTGGTAGTCAGGCTACTGTAAAACCTTGATTTAATCCTATATTTATCCAAAATTAAAATAAATATCAGTAGTTACGTTACACTAGTCTAAAGTTCAAATAGAACTGAACCTCAGCCTTTCTCCAAGTCTTTATTTCAGATGCAACTTGGTACCCAGCATGTGTGACTTCAATTCTACAGCATCTTGGAGACTGTGATACAGCTTCCTTACCTCTCTCTAGAAAGATAAAACAGTTGCAGAGAAGCTACTACAAGTCTTCCAGTCTTTCCATCATATTCACTTGCTTTTTGCATTTTAACTACATTTTTATTGCCTTGCATGGGGCTGAAATTAACGTTTTTAAGTAAAAAATATTTTTCCCAGACAAAAGAAATCCAGTAAGCAAGACTTGAAATGTGGAAACTTAATCTTATTAAGATAAATATATTACTGTTGAATTTGGCAATGCCCATATTATGTTAGCTGGTGATCTGTTTCAGACAAATTTATTCAGATGGCACGTAAAATGTATAACAAAAAAGATTCACCCATGCACTGTAACTGTTTACAGACCCACTTTTAAATAAAATACGTAATTCTAACATGAGATACTTTAAATTGTAACAACAGATTTGCAATTGTTAACTTACTTGGAACACAGACTAAGTAAAATTCTTCTCAAGCATGGGGAACTTTATGACTGACTAAAGACTGCTGAGCAAAACAGCTTAACCGCAGCAAAGAAAACTCACCAGCTGCATCTATTTGCTATACTTTGAGCCTAAACTGAAACAGGTATGGTACATGTACACCCACTCTCTTCAGAAATTACTTCTGAAGTCTGAACTTAGCACTCTTTGGAGAAAAAAAAACAACAACAAACAAAAAACCCCAACCCAAATGGAAAACCCTGAAACTTCAGATCCTTTATTTCTATCCACAAAAGGGACATCAGACATAAGCAGCAACGTAAAATCTTTGAGACTCCCTTTCTGAGGTGACGAAAGCATGGACTCTTAAAGAGGTGGGTCAATACGGTGAGTCTACTCAGCTGCTTCTTCGCAAGAGAACTAACGAAGGTTACTAGCAAAGACTCTAATTAGGGCAGTATTTTTCTTACACTGGTTCACTAGGAATTAGATGGCCACCTCAGCACACAGCGTGAACCACCACTAGGTATCTTTTGACAGATTTCCCAGATATGCCACACACTTTGCTGGAGAGCCAACTTGTCTAAGAATTGACGATAAGAAGCAGATGTCCCGTTTAATTTAAGTAAGTGCAATTTGGCTCATTCAATGGCAAACTCACAGACTTGCCAAGAGCAAAAGCTGAGGAATAGGAGCTAAACAATCCTGTAGATTCAATGAAAAGAAGACAGCAAAGAGGTTCTTATGGGAGCCAAACTGGCAAGCAAGGTGAAGGAAAAGAATAATTAAAAAAAATAATAATGAAGAAAAATAATAATAAAAGCCAGTAATAAAATCAAATGCATTTACATTTATAGTTATTCCCTTTCTGCCTCCTGGTCTTGATTTCCTACCTTGACATGTTGTTCCACACCAGCCTCATTCAGAAGACCTTTCTGGCTGCCAGCTCAAGGACAAGATTTGTATTGCAATTAAAGTGCCACACTTGAGTTTGCTTTGTCTTTTATTTTTTCTTTAAATGTATTCATGAAACACTTCAACTCGACATCTTTAGAAGTAGGCTGTTTGTAAGCCAAAACTTATTTTTAATGAAAATTACTGAAGCCCATGGGGATCTTTATCTGAACACTGTACTCCAAAATGAACACATAACTGTTTCTTTTTTAAGCAGAGAAGTGGAAGTAGGACCCACTGAAATCTCAAAAAGAAACAACAGGAAATAGCCCCCAGAAGGAGTGAAGCTGGTCACGTAATTATAGTGTGTTCCTACCACGAGGAAGAGAAACTCTGGGAGAGACCAAGAGTTCTCTTCGACTGAACTCCACAGAACGATGAAAGATCACTGCAACTGAACTCGGAAAAAGCTACTTTACCATAAAGTTACTCAATTATCAGTTCTGAACTACAGAAAAAACAGCCTGCGCCACTGTGACATACATACTTCTGAATCACACACAGTTTCTGTTCACATGGTAAGACAAAAATGTAACCTTATTTAAGGTAAAGTAGTTAAAATGGTGGAATTCCTCTACAAAATACAAATTCGATAATTTGGCAGGCTATTGGCAATCTCAGAAACGGAGTAATTCAAAGTATCAGGCCTTGAGATCAAGCAAAACTGGGAGATGCGTGATAAGAAAAGTTACGTAGGAATTAAAAACATGACCCTAAACCAAACAAGTGTAAGCAATCTAAGACAGATAACAATTCACATAAAAATCTGCCATTTAAATTCATACTTACAGAATTCTGACAGTATGTTATCTAATCTACATCTTCTCCAATTAATCATTTTAGAAAAGTGTTTGTGCCCACCTTTTCCTATGCCACAATTTAACACACTTCAGTAACCCTAGTATTCACATTAGAATCACAGAATGGCCTAAGCTGGCAGGGACCTCAGAGATCATTTTAATCCAGTCTCCCTGTCGCCAGGGACGCCACCTCTCGACTAGATCAGGCAACACATGGGGACCGAACGGGAATCGAACCCGCCACCTTGGCGTTGTTAGCGCCGCGCTCAACTGACTGAGCTAACGTGCAAAGAGTTGTGTGCAACTCTAAACGACCTAGAAAGGTACTTCTAGTCCTACGTGCATCATGTTGGGTGCAGCCCTTCTGCCACCAGCTTCTTCAGAGAAAAAACCCAATCAACGCAAAACAAAGCTGCATCTGTTCTAAGCACTGATAATAAATCCTTGATGGTTCACTTCACCAAAAAAGCGATGCATTCTTTCCATTCCACTTAGATATGCCAGAAAACTGCCAGGACCCCTAAGTAAGTGATTAATTTCCGGTTTCCTCTTGCTGTGTCTTAGAAAATGATCCAAGAGAATGTGGAAAGCAGCTGTAACCTGAACACTAAAATAAGACTACAAGAAAAATTAAATTCACTTATTCTATCTAAAGCAGGTCTCACATCATTTTTTCACTGATTCTGATATAAGTAGTGAGGAAAAATGCTCAAATACTCAATGTAGCAAAAAAATATAATGAACAATGCCAACAGTCTGTTTTAAACGATGAACGTGCTTCCAGATCATTTAAAACATGAAAATATAGTAACCTGAAGAGAGGCACGGTACCTCACGAGCTCCTTATGAGTGGGCACTTGCCAAAAAATTCTCTTATCCTAATCTGGTTAAAGTATTTAACTGTATGTAAACCTATTAACCACGGCCTCAAGATGCCACCAGAATTTCTTCACAAAGTATTGACTGAGTTATTGCCCTTTTTGAGAGTATTTTTGAAGAATCTGCACAGTAGCATATAATCCTGCTTGTTAAAACTCCACAGCTTGAGATAGAAAGATACTTTTTGTAACATGGGAGAGTGAAAAGAAAGGAGAAAATGGTCAGGACAAAGCAGTAGGAAGAAACTTTACATTCAGTCGGTGTAGGTAAATTCCTTCAGAGTAGGTAAATTCCCACAGAAAATATATGTGCTTCCGCATTAGTTTGAATTTAAGATAGTTTCCTAAATGTCTGGTGAAGAAGGAGGTGATTCTAGAAAAAGGAGATGATACAGATGTACATGTCATCAATATACTGACGAAACTTCAAGTCCATTTGTCTCACAATCTCCTTCAACAGCTACACGGTGAGAAGGCGAGGAGTACAGAGCTTCACAACACCAGAACTGAGAATCATTTAAGGATCAGTTAAGAATTATTCTCTGGGAACTCTCCAACCGGGAGCCTGCGGGAGGGCACGACAGCAAAGGGAATTCCTTCCACCTCTAGGCCACAGAAAAGTGTGTGGCCAGCACCTAAGGGAAAGCCGAGCGCACTCGACTCCAGCCCACTGCCAAGAGGACGCTGGCAATCAAACCTGACGCCACTGCCATTCCAGATCCTGCTCTGAAACCTGCCGCCCGTCCAACAGGGAATATAAAAATATTGCTGGTGTAGGCCTGCCACTACTGTCTCAGCACCCTTCTAAGAGAAGTGAACTTACCGACAAGCCAACGAAGAAAATACTGACATTGTCAACTTCTTTTTTTCCCCAACGGTATTAATGTACTGCTTTTAAATTCCCAGATATGGAAATGTCAAATAGTAAAAAAGCACATAAACTAGCCTCTACAATAATAAGCCAAATATGGACACACTTATATCTCTTCATCAATTTTACAAATATGCAAAATTATTTTATCCATTAAAATTCAGAATGAATCCTTTGCTCATTTATATTGCTTAATTTTAAAAAAACAACAGTGGAAGTAATAACTGAGGACAGATCTTAAAACACTTTACGAGTGTTAAAGTCAGCTTCAAAACACGAGTTGTAAAATAGCAGGGGGTAAAATTTCCTGATTATTGATCTTCAGTGAGACTTGGTGCTTGAATCACTTTCAAAACCAGAATTTCAGTAGCCTCATCTATAATTTTTGTCCTCATACTGTGAAAACAGATCCATCTCCCAAATTATTCTAGTAGTAACCACGGTCTTTACTTGATACTGAAACCATGTGGAAGTTCTCTGACATAAGGGCAGCACTTAAACAGAAAAAAGGATAAGTGCCCATCTGAAGCACTTAAATTAGGTACAAGATATCTAACACAGACCTTGTGGGAAAGATCAGTTTAGTAACTTGCATCATTATTGCCACACCTCTGGGTATCATTTTCACTCGCGAACAGTAAACAATACCCTTCCAATAAAACACACGCAGAACAGAAAATTGCTCAGACCGAAGTCATAACTTGCCATGACACATCTCTAAACTACATGAAAAGCTTCCATCATAAACTTAGTTAAGAAAGACTTCGACCCACCATAAAGGTTATGGCCATCATAAAAAGAAGAAAAAAAAGGAGTAAGCTAGTAAATTCTGCTAAGAAAAAAAATGGTAGGTTTACTTTGCTTTTCCTGCAGAAGCATTCAAATTTCATTCCCTCTCACTCTTCAACAGTGAGTAATGTCACACAGTGATTTCTGTAACAAGGAGCACAATTGAGAAGGCTCACTTTCTTATCTTACTTCTCCTGCTCAAATAAATTTCTCCAGGTGAGGAGCACTACTGACAGAAAACTGAGGTTGGAGAGCAGTCATACCTTTATATGCTCCAAAACAGCTGTGGCAACATTTGTATGAAGATCAATGAGCCTCTTCTTTTCCAGAAGTTCTGGAAGAGAGCTGAAGAGATTAAATACAAACTAACCTGCTGAGTTGCAATGTTAGTGTATTATATGCAGTCAGTACAAAAACCTTACACCACAGTTCTGCTTGGAAGGCACTTTTGAAGATTAAAATCTAAAATTATAGAATACAGGAGGATTAGAGTTAAAAAATGTGACGTGCAGATGTCATGATTCTCATAACAGAAGGACATTATTCACGTTTAAGGTAGCAAGCAGGTTTTACCTTGACTAGCAAAAAATACATATAATGCGAGTAATTTAATACTCCCATTGAAAGCTTGTGATCAACAACAGATGTATGCTTTGCTTAACTAAACAAAAATTAACTAGAATCACAGCTTACATAATCAACATTTATTTCATGTCTGATACATATAAAAGGGTCAATATTTGCCAAATATCTGTCAAATAATACCAAATGATGACAAATAATTATCAAATAATATTAAATAATATCTGTCAAATAAACACAGAAGCTATGAATATCCTGGAATCCACCATAGGCGCTTCTGCATGGAACACAACGCTCTATGCAGAATTCATGACTGAAATATTTTCTTTTGTGAAATGAGAAACGGAACGGTTACGTTTACTTCTGTCATGGGTTGGAGTCTGGTGGGTTTTTTTGTAAAAGCAAGGGTAGACTTGCACAAAATTTCAAGAGCCTCCCTCGGGGTAGTGGGTGCCCCTGCCTCTGGCCAGGGCCAGGCCAACCAGCACCTCTGCCATCAAGGTATTTAAGAGGCAACCCCACTGTTTTAGCTCCCTCTTTTGGTTTTGTCTTGTTTTGAGCTGTCCTGTCTTTAGGGTTGGGGAGTTTTTCTGTTGGAGGAGGGGGAGGTGTGAGGAGAACAAAAGAATGTTGTCCTGAGAAGAAAGAGGGCAAGAAGAGTCCTAGAGGAGAGTGAAAAAGCCGCTGGAGCAGAACCTCTCCCTGAAGCCCGTCGTAGCTGAGATGGCAGGAAGGGGACTGACGGCAGCGATAACGTCCAGGATGCTCTCGCCCAGGATGCGTCAGTATGTGCAGAGCCTCATGCGAAAGGGGAAAGAGACTTAGCATCAACGGGGAACGTGCCCAGAAGTGATCGGTGGCCCTGAGGGACTCACGAGGAGGAAGAGGATTGCTGCCTGCGAGGTGGACACCACACGCCAAGAAGGAGAGACTGTGAGAAGCCCTCTTTCTCAAGGAGGATGGACAACCAATAACGGCCAGATGGACCAAGCCCACCAGCCCCTGCCCCCCTTGCACTGATGGAGGGGAGGAGGTAGCCAGGTAGATGGGAGGGGCAGGGGGGGCTAAATGTGTTTAAGATTCGGTCATATTTATTCATGCATCCCTCTCACTATCCTACTTTGTAAATGGTGGTGGTGAATTAAATTTTTCTCCCCACACCTCTCTGATTCTTTAACCATCATCTTAACTGGTAGATTATTACCCTCCCTATCCTTAATCTCAAACCCTTGAGCCTTTGTCTCCCTCCACATCACTGTGGAAATGGGGCTGAGGGGAAGGAGTGAGCTGGAGACTGTGTGGTTTTTTTGTCTCAGTTGGTTTGAACCACAACTTCACAGAAAATCTGTTATTTATAGTGTTGTGATCAACATGATTTTCACTGCTGGCACTTGGGCATTACACAGAGAAGGCTGCTAAGGGCCTACACACCTTCATGTCCAAAAGCAGTCTGGACACAGTGTTTTACTCAGTTTAATAATAAGCAGATGAGAAGGCACTTAGTAACACTGACTGCAAGTCCTGAAGAACCACAAAGTTAAGTAACCACACTGTCCTTCCTCCTTTAAGCCATTATAAAATCATGACTGGCCATTAATGACCTTATAGCTGGAAGGTGATCTGTACTGTCTTTGTAAAGGACTGCATTTAAACAAAAGAAAGCAAGAAGAAAAAAAAAAAATACAAGACATCCTCTAGGTTAGAACCTCCGGGTTTTAATTACTAATAGATATTCCAAAGTTTTCTAGAAACTGAAAAGCCTAAGAGAACTCTAAAGGGTATCTTCTTCATGCCAGCAGATGATGGAAAACTTAACAGCAAGGTCTAGCTTAATTCTTCTAACAGAAATATGCCTACATGGAAGATCTTAACAGTATTTGGACTTGTCAGCATAATCCTAAAGACTGGTACTGAAACATTGCAATATGAGAGGGTACTGTGTTATACACTTTCCTGAAGGGATAAAAGATCATCCTTAATAAAGCCAGATGACAGAAAACAGTCATACAGAGGCTAACTGAACAGTAACACTTCCTGTTGATGGTATGATTTTTCTTTTTTGCTACCACTTTAAAGCTTTTGTCGTTTGTCACTTTCACACCTTGCTGCCTTAACCTGAAAATCACCATCCTCAGAAGTACAAAATGTTTTAAATTTTATAGGGGAAGCTTGGAAACATCTGCTTGTTTTTTTGAAACTGATCCATCACACATAATTTGTAATTCTAATCAAATTCTAACTGGGGCTTAGCAAACAAAGCAACTTTTGAAACTCACAAAGGGACAACTAACCAATGCAAACACATGCTGGATTTCCCAGGACACTGGGAATATCACCCCATCTATCCTCAGAATAATTATCATTCCCTCTTCCTGATGACTGAGGTTTTAGCAAAAGGTAGCACACTGAACATCCCCCTTCTCCAAGGCAACAGTGGAATGAAAAACTGATTTACAATGAGGAAAAAGTCTAAACGTCAGACTTTCAGTGTCATCCACAGAGGCCAGGTCTGCAAAAGCAGGAGACTAAATTTCCCCTGCAGAGTTCTTAATCACTACAGTCTTGCCAACAGATGTTACAGTAACTTATCAAAATTCAACTAATTACATACTGTGCAAAGCAAGCATGTGCTTCAGGACGTGGATTTCACGAAGCATTTTTTTTTAAAAAGGAATGCAGAGGTGCGTAGTTGGATTTTTCTGGTGGAAGAGTGTAAGCAAATCTGGGATGCACTCCAAAGCCACGGGCAGAGGGCTCACACACATGCTGTGCAAGTTCCATGCCCAAGTGCTTGTCTAGGACACCGCATTGCATTACAATCTACCAGAATTATAAAGTATTTCAACCCTATTTTAGAGCTGAATAGTCTATTTTTAAAGCTATTTATTTCAAAGGATATTAAACATGAATCAATAATTAGATATGGTTCCAAATTAATTAAACAGTAACGCATTATCAACTACTTACCTGACAGCAGAAGTTAGCTTAGCTGTATTATCTGAAAGCATACTTATCGCTCCTTCGTCCTCCCCTTCTATACCCTGAGTTTTGGGGAAGGGTTTGGAAAGAGAAATAAAAATAGTCGTAATAGACACAAAGATCACACATGCAATTACAGTCAGTGCATTTAGAAGCTATTTTCTCATAATGTCTGGACAGTGTTTTACAGTTATTATGGAAGTTATACAAACGTAACACCAATAATCTCAAGAAATTGAACGTCCTCATGAAATACGGCATTTCTAGCCCTACTTTTAAGATTGAATTATGCCTAAAAGTTAGCTTGTGTTGATAAATCTTTTTTTGGGGGGTGCAGTGACGAGAGTATGGGCTAACCATCTCTAGAAGTCCTGTCAAACTTTACATAATACACATATAGAGGTGATAAAATTTACCATGATACTTTTAAGTCTTTTGACTTCATCTTCTTGGGCTCTGTAGGATTCCAGTTCTTGCTGAACAGACTCTGCTACCTCTGGAAAAGGACTAAGGGAATGCGCTGCATTAGGCTCAGTTATTTCAACAAACTGAAACACTAGCAGCGGACAGGCTGCACGATCAAGACGATGATGAAAACTTTTTTGGAAGTATCAATACACAAATCATGCAGCAGTATCAAATCAGTGAAAATACTGTAGGTTTACTTAAAATTTCTAAGATATATTCACTGTGTTTGGTATTTTTACACAATTTTGATACGAACAGTTTTGATTTCTGTAACAAAAAGCTGCTAAACAATTAATATGGACAACGAATACTGACAGCAAAAATTCCTTAAAAGAAAAACAAACTTCAAAAAATTTTTCAAAGAAGCTGAAAAATAGAACTACTATAATATGAACAATATGTAGAATATATATTGATTATGTTAACAAAAACTCTGTACCTATATGGCTTACCTGCCCTTATGCTTTTGCCAAAATTTATCTGATGCAGTTAAATCATAGGACTTCTTATTTTTTTTCTTAGGTCTAGCACCCGCTGGAGAACTTTCCATTCCTGTTGATTCTTCCAAGTTAACTCTATTCAAATGGAAATCCTAAAAAATAGGAATCTTATGTAAATATCCGACAGTTGTTAATTACCTAATCAGTCTTTTACACTCATCCAATTACCTTCTGGAATATTTTCTAAAAAAATATTCAAACGGGTATTTATCAGAATTTCATAAGAAGGCAAGAAACAGTTTACTAACTAACCAGATAACACTAACAGCAATATAACAACTCCAAAATTACTCAAACATTGAAAAAACACTAAACAAAGCAACAAATGTTAAGCAAAGACATCTGCCTGTCTCACATGCAAGCAACCTCCTGACACAGAACACTTGCTTTCTGTATGGAGAATAAATTATTTAGCAACAACCGAGCTCTAACAACTGACCAGAACTTTAAAGTTTCGGTGTTATAGACAAATAACATTTCTAAGGCTGAATTTCACTTGCAAAACTACAGCAAATGCATCAAAGCTGCACAAAAGCTCCCGGCGTGGGCAGCAGGACGCCGCGCTGGGAGGACTGTTCCCCTGTGCCTGCACAGCTCTTGCCCTGTGGGTCACGCCAGGGACACAGCAGTGAGGGCCTGACAGAGCAGCAGCTCACGACAAAGCTGTACTTCCTCCACAACTTCTCTTCTTCCAGATGCACGAACGTAGAAACGACACCTTTTCGTATCTTCTGGTTCCTTCCCTCACTACTTTTGCCAGGGACAGCTCTGTATTTGCTGCAGCACACAGATTCCCTCCGGTTTTCAACAAGGATTAAGAAGTGCTCCACTTGCTGACTTTATTCTAACTCTTTTCAAGAGCGTTTAAAATTTTTAAGGTGGTCTTTGCTGGGCAAATAATTACAAAAATCAAATTTTCAACTACACAGAATCTGTCATTAATCTTTTATTTTATGTGCTTACTTTATGTTCACTGCAGTATACAGAACTAGATCACTGTAAGGGAAATTGTCAAACAAAATTTTTAAATGTTTCTAGCTATTCCTTGGCAGAACTCAAACTCAAAATGAAATACTATAATTTACTCTATCCCAGAAAATAAACAAAACCAAGTAGCTACTCAAAGGAAGCATATGCAGTCAACAAGCACAAACCTCATTTGTTTAATTTCCGCAAAAAAAGAAAAAAGAGTACTTTTCAGTATATGCGCTTAAGAAAAACTTGAAGGGAAGAAAAAAATCATGTGACTGAAAATTCAGCTGCAATTTTCAAAGGAGATATATGTTTCAGCTCAATTTAACTCACCAGTGTCCTGAGTTTGCAAGTAAGTTTTGGCATTTACAAGGAGTTTTACCAAAATGTTTCTTATTGATTAGTGTTCCTCCTTGCACCTCCCCCTTTTGGCTTTACAAGTCTTTCTAGTCACACCTCCTATTTTTCCGCATCCGTTCCTGAAAAGTTTTTTATTCGGAAATGGAAATCTCTTCATACAAGCCTGTTTGTGTGCAGAAACACCACAGTTCCACTCTAAACGTGGCACACAAGTTTGTGGCTGGGCTAGCACTTAGTTTGACACCCCAGAGGATTCCTGGACTACTGTAACTGAGAGCATAGAGGAAAAATAGTTTATTTGAAAGTATGGTTTACATAATCATCACCCTGGTAACACTTTCACAGATACTATTTATGGCCTTTTTAAAGGCTACTACGGTCATTTCGTCAAATAGGATGCTCATTATGTGAAGAACCTGGCATGCTTCCCTTTAAGGCAAACAGCTTCTCTGGTTTTGAAATTAAACTTTTGCCCTTGACATGCAGTCACAGGCTGCCTGGTTACAATTTCACGAGCCAAATTCATAATCCTATCAACTCAGAAAAAAATTAGATGTGACATTTAATAAGTGGCTTCCGAGAAGCTGTTGAAGCCTGGTGCAGTACAGATAAATACCCAAGGATCCTGAAAACAAGCTCCTCGTGCTATTCTAACCCCCCACATACTCGCAGCACTAGTTGTCCTCAGCTTTCCTGACATCACTGACCCCTCTGCATCCCCACGCACCCAAGTCCCAGCCCAGCACGTGCCTAAGGCCACCCGACACCTCCTGCTCCCCGCTCCTGACAGCGAGCAGGAGGCAAACACCTGGAGCTCTGCCCACAGGTACTGGGCCTGGGCATGAGCAGCTGTGAGTAAGTGGCTGGCAGGTAACGAACTAAAATACCCGTAAAAAAACCTACCTCGGGTTTCCTATTTCACTCCTTTCCAAAAGAAACCCGCAGAAAATCAGTACCTCTGTTTGCAAGTCTCTAGCCAGTACCACAGGAGGAAACACAGTGCAAAACATATTTTTTTTAATATATCCCCTTCCTAGAGAAACCAGGCCAAACATGGTTTATTTGTAAAAAGCACCCTCGAGTTCAAGAGAGGGATTTTTCCTAAGGAATGAATCACATAACATAGAATTTAGAAGTGTCCTAGAATATCTGGTTAGTGTTAAAATATTTTCATGGTAGCAACGCAAGTGGCTGGAGAACCCCGTATGTATGACCAGACACAACCGACTTTGTACGCAAGCACATACATGTATGTGCATATTTTACGTATTCCTCTCAATAATAAAACCAAAATATTTCTCAAAGCCAGACAGTAAAAGCATTTGCATGACTAACTACAGTATCCAAATGCCTCCAGATAGTTATTCTTACTCATATTCTTTTATTACTTCGTCCAGAACTACGTGCAAAATGCATAAATCTAAGATAAATAATATTTGCTTTCATTTAAGTACATCTTTAATACTGGTTTTATGAAATAAACTTGAGGAAATAGAAGTGGTTTAAGGCTATCTGAAATTCCAAACCATTGCTTAAAAAAAATGCCTATTTTCAATTCCTCACAGTAGGGTCACACACCACTTTGTATCTATATCGAACACCCACACCACCTTGTGGAGAAAACCAGAAATAGATATTTTTAGAAACTCAAATTTATACCAAAACCAGTTTAAAAACTCATTACAGCATTTATTTTTCAAAACTGAATTGCACTTAGTGGACTCTGGAGTTTATATGATTATGAACTACTGAAGAAAAAGCTAGGATTGCTGAATTACCTATATTTGATTGTATAGGATTTCAACTTTTTAACTATTTTAGAAGTTACTGCTAAATAAACCTTCTGGAGAAAATCTTCCAAGTTGTTTTTTACTAAACAACTTCCAAATAAAACAGACAAAATAGATTTTTGGATTAAGAGAGAATCTGGCATTAAGTTTAATAACAAACCAAGTTAAAAATAGTTTTGGTAACAAATCAGATTTATTCTTACCAGAACATCGTGCACTAAAGCCTGGTATGTCCAAGTATGGTGTAGAGGAGTTGCTAAATCTATGTTTCTGTCAACAAGGACTAACAGAGGCCTTTGGAAGCTGAAAAGATGACACTGCATTAGTTCTTCTTTAAACACGTCTGTAACACCCCCGTGACACCCTGAGTGGTATCAGCCATCTTCTGCAATGAATTCCAAGTTAGAGGCCAAACTTCCCACTGCAGAGCTCCTCCAGCCTTCCCCACAGCACTGGGGCTGATCCCTGCCACAAGTTCCATGAAGCACTTTCTTGGTAATGCTAAAAAGATTATTTTATTTTGTACTAAATGAGATTACCAATGCATAAATATTGAGCACAAGTCAAAACACTAAACAGTAACTACTCTTCCACGTATTAACTAACATCTCCTTGTGTGGATACACATCCCAGTTCCAAACCACTGAGTGAGGAATATTCAACCTTAATCCCCACTATCAAACTCAAATATACAATCTCCGTCTCAAGGGGCTTTTAATTTCATTTTTCTCTTTGCTTATATACGAGTCCATAAAGAAGGAAATATGAATTTCTGAGATGCACTGTGGTAATTCCAGCAATACTCAATTTTGTGGAAAAAGAATGCAGACATGCCCTGGGTTATGGCTACATGAAAAATTTATAGTGAAGACAGGAAGGCTGTGAATTGCCATTATTGCAACCATTTCCCTTAAGCACATTAACGCTACAGTAAATGTGATTGCTAAAATCCACTCTGTTTCAACACAATAAAAAGCATATTAATTCCACACTCTGGATTTCCTCGCAGTAAGTATTTTCACATAGATATATAATCTCAAGAGCCTTAGTCACTCGATTCTGAAAACCAGATTAAAGATCTGAAGCCATTTAACCGGGTAAAGGTTGCCCTGTTTCCCTCCCCTTGTACTTTTCTGAGGGTAATGCTGTTACACCGTCAGGAAAACAAGCTATCCTTCTGAAAGAAGAACACTGGTTACATTCCAGTTCCCAGGAACAGGAGGGAACTGGTACTTTACAGCTAGTGTCTCTCCCAATACCTTTCAATCTCATGCCATTTTGCCACCCTGGATGTTTTTTGTGTCTTTTATACAAGTTCTGCTCGAGACAAAAATATGCTGACTATTTTGTATCTAATTAGGAGATCATAACTGTTCCCTTCAGCTACACTTTTCCTAACACGTCTCCTCACGTCTTCATGTAAACTCCTGTAATCCATCTCCCGAAGGCAGCCTGTGGAGTATCCAACTATCTGGTGGCAACAGCACACACGGGGGGGCAGGCAGCCACAATGTCTTCTGTTATCCCTCTTTCCCCTCAAAGGATTCAAATAGTCACGTCTTGACACTCCTTAACTATCTAATTTATCCATAACTAGTCACCCTCTGGTAGATAAAGGGATCAGTTAAGAAATGCTTTTGACATAACTACAACTGATAACAAGTGAGAAAATGGATATTTCTTTCTTTTTAAGGAACTACAGGTTGCTAATAAATGTGTTCAGACAAGCATGTCGCAGTCCTGCAAACTAAGTGCTTTTGCAGGAGCTTGGTTCGTGTTGGGTTTAGAAGTTGAACAAAAGCACCTGGTCCATTAAATAATTTTTGTCTCACTGTCCAAAGACTGCACACCTACTGGCTATAAAAGTTTTCAGACCAGTTTTGCTAAGAGATTGGAAAACTCCCTTAAGAGTATATGAAATCTTTTAATAGAGAAGTTGAATCAAATTCATGTAAATACAATTTTTCCGTACAGTGGTGACTTACCCCAATGAGATATTTCAGACAACTGAAATATAGAAAATAAAGTATGCACAGTTATTACTAACACCATACCTGAACTGGCCAGCTCCAAGCGTGTCACCTGTAAAAAGACTGTTTCTGGCATCTCTTAGATTCTCTCTGAGCTTCTTATCTAATTTCTGAGGGGGGGAAAACAAAACAGTTTTTAACAAACGAATTGCCCCTCCAGGGAATTAGCATCCTCTTCCTAAACAGACAAACAGAAAATACCAGGAAGAGGCATCAAGGGGGAACCACAGCAGCAGCAGCCAACAGGGCTGTCAGACGTTGCCACTCTCAGTATTTCCTAAAAATGAGATTCTCCCCAACACATATGCATGCACTCTGAATGCTTACGTTTAATCAGTAATAAGGCTTCACTGGCAAAGAAATAGGTGAGAAAGTGGAAACGAAGCTCAGTGATTCCTAACGAAGACGCCTTTGTAGGGATTTCTATCGTCATTTAGTTTGGTAATTTCATCCCTGCTTGATGATCAAGGTCAATGTCAGTTTAGTTTGATCCAGCAAAAATGCCTTGTACTTAGGAGTGTTCCCAGAAAGATAAAGATTTCTTACTAATACACAGAGGAAAACGCAGCCCAGACAGCCACTTTCTAAACTATGTAGATAAAGCTTAATGGTCTTAATTATTATGCCTGTCAGAAAATCTTGATCATCTCCAGATTAGGAATGATTATCCATGTTTATGTTTCTCACCTGTTGATTCCATAATATTACAATTTCCACAGAGGAGTTCCATGGAACTGAAACCAGAAAGGAGGACAGGTTTATGTCCTTTCCAGTTTTATTTCCTTCATAAGGAAATGGATACAACACCACTAGATCTCTAACTAGTATTGTGAAAAGTAAGCAAGGTGTTAGCAAAGTTTTAAACCAACAATACTTGTTTAGAAAATAGTTTCTTACCACTGCCACCATTTCAGCTGCAGTTCCTCTTGAGCATCTGATTATAGGAATTGCTCCTAATAAAAGATATATTGACTTCTATTTGCATTACAATTTTCAGATTATAACTTAGCACACTTTTCATAAAATTCTTAGCAACATTCTAAGATAACATTTTTCAAGTGGACAATAGAAACTTACACTGAATTTGTTTCTTGCAGTCTTTTTATGAAACAAAAAAGAGTATATAGAAATATTAAATAAAGTTTTACAAAAGTGAATACCTCATATAGGAATATATGAGAAGCGTAGAGTATACGAGAAAGACAGCTAATGTACTGCAGAGGGGACTATCCCATACAGAAGCGTTAAAAGTTAGTTTCAAAAGGTTAGAAGTCCCTTGAAAACAATAACAGTAAGCACTATAACACCCCCATAATATATCAATTACAACTCACTGCAGGGTAATGTTAGTTTCAAAAGCACATAACTAATTACTCTCTCATTTATCTATACAAATATGAAAATTCCAATTCCATAGATTTTAAGTGACTGAGATTTCATTTCTCTAAATGCTAACACTTGAAAGAACTCCATAGGTCCACAGGAATCTCTCTTGAACAGACTGTCCCCCAGCGATCTCCTGCTGCCCTCCCAGGAATGCTATCACTGAGAACTTAGATTAAATGCCATCACTATGACAAATATACGAGCTCAGCATCAGGAAAACTCACAATAAAATAAGTAAAATTAACATATCTTCCTATTCCTTATTTACTTCAGCTAGATCTTTGCAGGGTTTGTGTGATGTGGGTTTTTTTTTTTTCCTTCTTTTTCTCTGGCTTTTTTTTTTTTTTGGAGCTACAAATCCAAACACAAAACACTACTGGTCTTCATTGCAAACTAGGATTTTGTAAAAACAGTGAATCCAAACCATTTCAGTATTCCTCTCCCACTGATACTGAAGACTGAGACTCAACTCTCATGTGGGACAGCCTTTACTGGCTTTTGCAGAGATGTGTGGCAATAATTTGAGCAACATCATTAACGCACCTCGCAAATTAGTAAGATTTCTGTCACAGATCTAATTCTGCCTTTAATTTGCTATATGAAATCACTAAATTTCTAGGTATCACATTGAATATGGATATTCTCTAAAAGGAAAACGTATGAAAAATACACTAGAATTTGGAAACTTACCAAGTGTAACAAAAAAACAGAAGAGACTATCAACAATAGTGTCCATTATAGTTTCCATTTCTGTGTCTGTTATATCTGGTCGGTTGATGGCTAAAACAGTGTGGAAAAGAGTTAAGAATAGGGTTAAAAAAGTTTATGTCACGTTAATATAGAGAAAAGGTTCTTCTTCTTACCTAATGGCTCTTAACAGCCAACAGCTGCTGTTAGACAAGAGACCACCTCACGCCCCTCTTAGGATATCCATTAGTTTTTTCCCCTTTATTTTTTTTTGGAGGAAAAACTTGGGAGAACTTGATTACTTTTCACTGTACACCGTCAAACACTACACAATCTTCGCCAGTTATATCTGACAATGCATACTGTAACTTCTGGATCTTGTTAATATTGCATTAATTAAAATCACCCAGAAAACCATATTATGCAACAAAACCAGCCACGTACTCAGAAACCGTTTTTCAGATATAAGCTCCTGAAGAACTACTCATGTAATTTAAAGAGAATAAGAGTATGCAGTTACCTATACCTAAAGATTCTAAAATTCAGTTCTTTTAATGGAGATTCTTTTTTTTTAAAAAAGAAATATACTGTTCATCACTAGGTTACGGACAATTTCCAAGTTCCAAAATATTTCACACTACAGACAGAAAGATTTCCCTCACATACTTAGGTCAGAACAAGACACAGGTAGCAACACATCTATTCAAATAATGAACAGATAAGAATATAACAGACAATGAGAAACATCAAACCTAATCTTACCATGGGTCTCAAGTCAGGCACTGTCTCAGGACTCAAGCCATAAATCCGCATTGCATATTTTCTAGAATTCCCTTTCCCAGACTCTCCCCTGATTCTGACCATCCCCCCTTGCACTCCCCTGCATGTTCACACCTTGAATTAGAAGAGCAGTCCCAGCTGGTCACTGACTAGTAAGTAACTCTTACCAGTTAAAGTCATCTTTCTTGCTTTGCATTCCTTACCGTAACTTTCCAACTGACCATTTACAGAGAAATAAACCACTTAACTCCTTACGAACTGCAGAAGGGACTGTGACTAAATAGTGCTGCCTAAACACTATATGTTGCCACCCACAGCGCCTGCCTACCTGTGTAATACAATGTGAAAATTTCCCTATATTATTCCACAAGTAAAAAGCCTTGCCATCGATGTAGTTTTGCTTTACAGACTTGTTATTTAAAAATACGTAATTATTTTTCAATATAATAATACCAGTGTGGGAAAGCTGCTGATATTAATACCTAAGAACTGCTTCGTGTCTACATATCTAGCACACTATCCTCAACTCTGAGCAGATTTAAGCAAAACAAAATCATGGCTTCAAAAGTAAATTTCAACTTTAGATATCCCAGTATAATTTTTTATGCAAATTTTACTTACCACGATATGAAACGAGTTCTCTGTTTTGGTTACACAATACGAACATGTCATCTTCTAAAGTAATAAAATTAAGATACTGGTCAAACACCTAGAAATCAAGGAATAATGGTTAGAGCAGTCTAGAGTGAAGCATAAAAAATCCCGTCTGTGATTCATTACTGCTTCTTTTTGAACTTCTTACAGAGCTGGCTATTAAAAGAAAGAAATGCAAAATCCAGTGTATGAATTAAAAAGCTTGTGTGAGGATCGGGTGATAATAGAGGACATCAGAGCACCTGAGAAGTTAAAGCAGTCCAACTTCAGGCATTTCTGTGGACAAATTTTTAGTAGCCAATCATCACCGGAGAAAACACATATGGAGGATTTTATAAAATTGTAGGTTTATTTTTTTTAATAAACAGGGCTGAGGTCATGGGCCGGAAGTTAGGAAGGAGGGCAATATCTACAAAATACAAGACTGTAGCTCACAAATTCTAATTTTTCTGCAACATACCTGTACCTTCAGGAAAAAAAATAGACCTCTACATAGCATAGACTGTTAATGGAACATCACAACAGAAGAAATTTAGTTCACAGTGCTACACCAGTTTACTTCTGCTGAAGATAGTACTAACAGTTTTCATTTCATTTCACAACAGCTTCCTTCCCTCATGCCAGTAGCCCTCCCAAACAGAAATGAGAAGAAGTGAGTGTATTTATGCACATATGAAAATAATTAGTTAATAATTTGCAGGTTTTGGTACTGGTGTTCAGCAAAAACACAGGGGTACGTACCTGACATCTGCCTTTAAATCATAAAAGTGTAGGAGTGCCCTGAATAACCCTTTGAAACGCCCCCTCTGCAGTACACTGCCTGTTTAAAACAGCAGCTGCACTCACCCTGCACTTTGTGTGTATTCAGGAGTTAAAAACCCCACCCCATGACACAGGCAGTGGACGCACTCCTTGAGCTGATGAGACTGGGAATACTCTGAAACTGCTATGTTGCCCCTCTTATCATTTAGCACAAAGGTCTCGCAGCACCTGGACTTTTGACTGAGCTGAAATACAGCACTAAGCTGCATAAGCGAGACGACTGCAGATTCCCTTCCACCTCCCCAGGAAATCTATGCTTGACACTGAATCTAGCTAAGCATTTATTCTGTTCAGAATTCGGTCAGAAAAGCTGTGTACGGCACTAAAGTGGCCACATAAGAAAGCAGCAACACCTGTAACGGTAGTATCTTTATCATGAGAGATTTTCTTACCTTAGCCACTTGAGTTACTGCATTAGCACCTATGGCAGCATTCGCAATATCTTCCAGTTTACTTCTCGAAATGGCAGAAATAAAGTTTAAATAATAAGATTCATAAAGCTGGTTTCGAAGATCCTAAAAGGAAGGAAAACCACAACCTTTTTCCTGAATAAGTACTAATACATTTCTGCCTAATTAAACAAACATTCATACTTTTACTACATGATGTTCCATTATCCACAGTCAAACTAAATTTCTGGAAGTGCTCAGCTGTCCGTTCACCCAGCCCTGTAGGCTGTAGTGTTTTGACTGCATCGCCAGATATAACCAACCTAACACAGAACGGCAAAAAAAGCTACCAGAGAGCAACTGGCACACCTTATCCACTACCCAAAAATACCCTCTGCTCTTTTTCCTTCCTTTGGTGAGGATGTCAACCTTCCAACAGTTCCTCCCAGAGAAGGTGAAAAATTGTGGTTAGTCTCATCCAACCCTCTCGCTCAAAGCAGAGTTGAAAACAAGCAGGTGGCCCAAGATTGCGTCCAGCCAAGTTTTGAACATCTCTGAGGATGGAGACTCCATAAACTCTCTGGACCATCTGTTTCAGTGTTCAGCCACCCTCATTAAAATCGCTTTCTCTTATGTTTAAATGGAATTGCCTGTATTTCGATTCCTGCCCACTGCCTATTGTTTTTTCACTCCCCAAACTCTCCAGAACACAGAAGACATATTTACTCTTCTGCTTTCTGGTAAATGGAAGTTTTGCATGTAAAAATTTTGGGTTGTATTTTTAAGGAAAATCTGTGCTACTAAAAAAATGCAAGCAAAGGTGTTCAGACATGCACAAGAACTAGCTACAGTTGCAGCGCAGGATTACTCCACATACTCTGCTCCGTGCACTCATTGAAACACCAAGCACACAAGTCACCTGGCACATCCTGTCAATGTTTTCCTCCGTTGGCATTACAAAGTAAACAGCTGGAACATCTGGAATAGCATCTCGATCTGAATGCAAAAGCCTGAAAGGAAGGAAAAAAACATCTGTAATGCGTTCCTCCTCTGATTCATGTAAAATTGAACAAAACATTTATTTGTACAGACGTGTTTAATTTTCTACAATTTCTCCCTATATTAGGTAGAATTTTAGCAAGAATAAGACAAGAAAAAATGGCCAAAAAAAAGTCTGTACTATTTTTGGCTGAATATTTTAAGACACCTACAAAGTTTATGCAGATCTTGAGAAAGGCTTCACAAATCTTCAGAAACAGATTAACCCACTCAGAGGAAGGTAAAACACTGCATTCAAGAAGCTCACACACCAGTTATTAGCTGTGGACGTGATAACAAAATCCATGCGTATCTGATACTACTAAACTTGCCTTTCCTGCTTAAAGGCAAGGTGCTTACACGTTTCTCTCACATTTCTGCTGATATATCAACATGTTAAACTGTGTTTCGATTTCTAGCCTTCGCTTAACAGAAGTTAGTAAACTTCTGAAAAAAAATAAACGTATCTTCAAAGTTTCTCCATGACTATTACCAGAGCTAAGGAATGACAACAAACTAAGCAAATGTAATCTGGAGAAAGAGAAATGAGAAATCTCTTAAAACAGTGCTTAAATATTCCAAATGTTTGACAAGAGACAACTAAATTTTGCATGTAAAAGCACAACCAGGGAACATGCCCAGTCCCATGAAGCAGTCTGCGCCCAAGCAATTTTAACCTATATGAATACAGAGGGATTTGTACAGCCAGATTCCAAAAAAATACCTATTGGTCAATTTTGATTTTTTAACAGGGGCCTCCTGTACTTAATAAGAAATCTTACCAGTGTTTGAATTATCTCTCCACTGCCTGATTCCGAATATTACCACCTGATTTTAGGAACAAGCCAGGGTAGAATATTTATTTTAGTAGTTATTTACTGAATGATTTTCAATGTTGTGTTCATGTTTTTGGGGAATATTAAAATTCTTTTCAGAAAAAAAAAATCCCTATTTTTTTTTAAATACTTACAGATGCAAAGTGATCCCCATGTCTCTCAGCTCTTTCACTGACAGCAAAGGTGAGATTATATCTTGGCCAAATCTGTCATAAATGAGAACCTGAAATAGATACACATCTTCTTACAAAGTTCTGTAAAAAGTGGATACTGCAGAATACTGGGCACAGTGGATACAAGAGTTCAGGTTTAAGGAGCTACTACAGTAACCCAAAAAGTACTAAACATTTACCAATTTATAATAAATCACTAATTCCTCAAGGAATTAGTTTACTAATAAATAATTTTCCAAAGAGGCATGAGACAAAACTACTTAATAAAGAGGAAAAAAATAATCAATTCCATCTCCTGAAAAATGTCAAACAGGTATCTGCTGTCAGAAATTTGTTACTCTAACTGCAGAATTTCTCTGACTGCATTTGGGAGGAAACAAAAGGAGAAGCAGAGAGAGGAAAAAAGGAACTAGCGAAAAAAGAACAGAACAGAAGAAGAGACACAATACATGCTTTGTAGGAGCAAAAACTTCTCACAAACTACACAGTAGTTACTTTTTGAAGCTAATAAAGGTAGCTTGAGCTCATTTTGTTCTAAATTTAAGGCTATCAATAGTTCTTCCCTTTCCATGGGCTTCTGTCTGACTCGGTGAGTTCACCTGTAAGGTATTATGCAAGGTTCTGCTAACGGGTATCGATGAGACGTTGGCATATTTCAAAAACGTCCTCCTCAGTTACTCATTAAAATATTGCCTACAGAATCAGTTAGTTCGTTGGGTCTTCAAGCAGCCAATATCTCAAATAGGTATTTTCCTCAGCAACTCTGATGCTAAATTCATATATGCATATTCATAACACAGGAAAAAGATTTTGTACAAGTTAATAACAGCACCAAGATACTCGAGTTAGTTAAAATTTGAAAATCCGAACCTGCCTGAACACTATAAAATTCTCCTATTTCTGTTCCAAGAGGTCTTACCTTCCACACTGGTTCTCCTGTGCTGTTTTTAACAGGAGGAACATTGAAGTTCAGCATACGTTTCAAAGCCACTGGAAAATAAAGCAGAATAATACTTTACTCTCTTTACATTTCAACAACAGAGATTAAACACAGTAGCAGGATTTTATTACACATTCTGTCTGAAAAAAACCACATTATAAAATATAAATGCAACAAGTCACATCTTCATTTTTACGCATTTTTTGACTGGCAAACGGCACACATCAGCTAGAATTTATGGAAGACACTGCAAAAGGAAACGAACTAGGTCCCAAAACACAGAGAAATGTTCAAAGCGGATATAAGGAAAAACTTTTTCACCACAAGGACAGTCAGTGCCACAGGCTGCCTGGTGTGGTTGTGGCATCGCCATCCCTGGAGATCTGACTGGATAAAGCCTTGAGCAGCCTGGCCTGGCCTCACAGCTGACCCTGCTTGGGCAGGAGGCTGGACTTTCTCTTTTTTTAATTTTTTTTTTGTAACACCACAGGGCAATACTGAACACTGATTATAGACTGCTCCCAGAGCCTTCACTCCCTCACTGTCAGAAACACCTTCCATACATTCCAGCCATATGAACAATTTTGTATAAAGCTGCAGGGCTCCGTACTTTGGTACTACTGCATCTGAAGCAGCCACTTTGTAACGTTTACAATTTAAATTAAAACTCGGCATAAGCTCTCTACTAAAGAAGACAGCAATCTGATGTGCTGCGACAATCATCACAAACATTCAGCAAGTCTCTGGGTTTGTTTTTTGTGTTTATACTGCCATTTCATCTATGTTTAGGCCAAATACTCTCTGGGGTTTTTTTTCTACGCGTGCACAACGATATGTGTTCACTGGTTATGAACCAGGACAAAGGACACTACAGATGGTGCACATCCATGGTAACACAGACACTAAATGATAATAAATCTTTTTCTTTTTTTAAAGAATCAGAACATTTTGGGTTGGAAGGTACCTAAAAAGATCATGTGGTTCCAACCCCCCTGCCATGGGCAGGGACACTTCCCCGTCCAGCTTGGCCATGAACAACTCCTGCGGGCAGCCTGTGCCACTGCCTCACCACCCTCACACCGAAGAATTTCCTTTTAATATCCTGTGTAAATCTACTCTCTTTTCTGAGTATCTTTTGGTTGTTTAATCTCCCTCCTTGCAAGTGGCCTCCTCAATGGAAGACAACATGGGCTCACAGGTAAAGGCTGACAGAAATAACTAAGCAACAAGGTGAAGCACAACAGAAAAGAATAAAGCTGTATGGAATAAGGGCTCAAAGACAGGACGCTTTATCAGAAAGGTACTAAAGGCAAGTAAAGGATTGCAAATGAACATCAGAGAGCACTACTAATGTGAGATGGCCACAGGAGCGAGACCCCAGAAAGCAGACCTCTGGTACAAAAAGGTGGAGAACACCAGCGAACATTTAAGGTCCGCGTTTTCAGGCAGACGATTGTAGCCAAAACAAAGAAGAGCCAGTCATGGACTCACAGCAACGCGTCCTGAGGGGCAGGGCAGGCTAATCCCCTGCCCACAGAAACCTCCCGCACAACTCGCACCCTCAGGTTCTCTGGGGCTCCCGCATCGCCCCACAGGCGCATCGCACCAGAAGCTTTATTTTCGCGCTACTCCGCGGTATTTCCC